AAAGTTAATAGAGTGAAAAGTAGGAGCTCCAGAGGCACAATATGAGAACACTATCAACCACTGTGGCCCAAGGCTCTCCAGCCTGCTACCACCAGATAAGAGAAATATTACCGGAAGAAATGTAGTATTCTTCAAGGGAAAACTGGATTACTGCCTCAGCGAAGTGCAAGGTTCAACTAGGCTGTGGTGGTTATGTAGGCCAGCGGGACAATAAAAGCAACAGCCTGACTGAACAACCCTAATAGCTTAGAAAGTCCTTGAAGTCGGTGGCAGGTATTTCAGAGGCATATTTATTCTCCTTCCCTTTTCTTCTTCCCCTCCCCATACTCCTCAGAATCATCTTTCTTCCTAAACCCACAGTGGAATAAAGCTTGTGTGACAACACTTCGCCCTCTGAAGACCGAGCCAAATGTCACGAAAAAGGTTCTTCTGTTTTATATGTCGTGCCCAATAGGTAAAATTGGTCAATTAGCAAGAACTCATTTAAAATTAGGTCCTTTCTAAAATTGTCTCTCATACGTTTAAAGATATATTTTTTTAATTTACGTTAATGTAAAAATATATTTCACTATGTTTATTATTAAATGATTGTGTGTGTGTGTGTGTGTGTGTGTGTGTGTGTGTGTGTGTGTGTGTGTGTGTGTGTGTGTGTGTGTGTGTGTGTGGTGTGTGTGTGTGCGTGCGTGTGTGTGTGTGTGCAAGGGGGGAGTTGAATGACAGTTCAAGGCCTTTCATGTTGCAATCAACACATCAGGAGCTTGCAATGTTGCAAATACGATCACAGGAAGCGGCTTTGCTGGAGTGAAGCAGAGGGGATGTAGGTAAGAAGTGCCCCCTGGCATACCAATACCCATAGCCAGAAAGATTAAATATTATAGCATTAGAAAAACAGCTTGGTCGCGATTTTTTCATATATTTTTTCTTCAACACGTCGGCCGTCTCCCACCGAGGCAGAGTGACCCAAAATAGAAAGAAACATTTTCACCATCATTCACACATAATCACTGTTTTTGCAGAGGCGCCCAGATACGACAGATGTCACTCCAAGCAGTTCAATATTCCAAACCCCTCCTCTAAAGTGCAGGCATTGTACTTGCCACCTCAAGGATTCAAGTCCTGCTAACCGGTTTCCCTGAATCCCTTCACAAAATATTACCCTGCTCACACTCCAACAGCTCGTCAGGTCCCAAAAACCATTAGACTCCATTCACTCCTATCGGACACGCTCACACATGCCCACTGCATGTCCAAGCCCCTTCCACACAAAACCTATTTTACCCCATCCCTCCATCCTTTCCTAGGACGGCCCATACCCCTCCTCCCCTCCACTACAGATTTATATACCCTCCAAGTCAATGTATTTTGTTCCACCCTCTCTAAATGACCAAACCACATCAACAACACCTCTCCAGCCCTCTGTATAAAATTTTTAGTAACTACACACCTCCTAATTTCCACACTACGAATTCTCAGCATGATATTTACACCACACATTGCCCTTAGACACGACAACTCCACTGCCTCCAGCCTCCTCCTTGCTGCAGCATTTACACTCTATGCTTCATCTCCACTACACTCTCGTATATTCCTTCTTTGCCTACATGCATAACGTTCTTTGTCCCACAGATACCTCAGTGCACCACTCACCTTTTTCTTCCTCCTCATTTCTGTGGTAATCTCGTTCTTCATAAACCCATCCGCTGACAAGTCTACTCCCAAATTTCTGAACACATTCACTTTTCCATACTCCCTCCTTCCAATGTGATATCCAATTTTTCTTTACCTAACTCATCACCTTACTCTTATCTATGTTCACTTTCAACTTTCTTCCTTTACACACCCTCCCAAACTCGCCCACTAACCTTTGCAAGTTCTCTTTAGAATATCCCATAAGCACAGTATCATTATATATATTTATTTTTATTATATATACCGGCGATTCACCAAGGCAAGTGGCCAAAAAAAAAATTTACATATTCATCCATCACTGTCTTGCCAGAAAGGGTTCTATTACACTACATTTTTTAAAATTGCAACATAAAACCCCTACTTCAGAGTGCATGGCATTGTACTTACATCTCCAGGACTCAAGTCCGGCCTAGCCGTTTCTGAAATACCTTCATAAAATGTTATTCTAAACTCAACAGCACGTCAAGTATAAAAAACATTTTCTCCATTCACTCCTATCAAACACGCTTCAAGCATGATTATGATAGTCCAAGCACTCGCACACAAACTCCTTTAACCCTCCCTCCAACTTCCTAGCTACCCCTACCCGCTTCCTTCAATACAGAACTGATACACACCTTGAAGTATTCTGTTTGCGCTCCATTCTTCACATGTCCGAACACCTCGAAACCGTTCTTAGCCCTTGGACAACAGTTTTGGTAATCCCGCACGCTCCTCAACTTCCAGACCCGCAATTCATCTGCTTTATTCACCACACATTGCCCTAGACATGACATACCTCTCTTGCTCAGCCTGGCTCCTCGCTCCACATTCATCACCAGCTTCACCCATATAAGACGTTGGTAAAACTATACTCAAAATTCCCCTCTCTTGCCTCAGGACAAAGTTCTTTTCCACGGACTCCTAAGTGACCGTCCACTCTTTTTCCCCTTTCATTCCCTATTTTATACCGTATCATAACCCCCTATCTCTTCTGTCTCCATGCTGTGTGTGGTTCGTGTTGTGTGTGTCGTCATTGTGTTAATGTTGTGTGTGAATGTTGTTGTGTGTGGTATGTGTGTGTGTGTGTGTGTGTGTGTGTGTGTGTGTGTGTGGGGGACTGAGTGCGTGCTCGCTCGTACATCTCGATCTTGTATCGCTTTACTGAAGTTTCCCAGCTTAGAATGAGACACTTCCTTACTTTACGTGCTTGACGATATCCTCAACGCCTTTCTGAAAGCCTCCCAGCTCAAGAAGAGTCCTCATTACTTCTTGTAAACTACCCATCCAGTGTGATGGCATATGACAAGAGAACATGGTTAACTATTATTCCCCCAATGTAACTGACGCATTATTTTTTAATATTATTCTTTCCTATCCAACCTTATTTCTTCCTTTCCAACCTCCCACTCTTTTCTTCCCATTCTCCCTCCCTCAATGATACACAACACTGAAATATATCATTCCTAGAGTTATTCTGCGAGGATATCTTGGTCTACTTTTAATTACGTGATTATAGTTTTTGAGATTGTTCGGTGCCGTCAATCATTTACTATTCGATATTATTATTACAATCAAGGGGGAAGCGCTAAACCCGGAGGATTATACAGCGCCTGGGGGGGGGGGGATGTGGAAGGCATTCAGGCTTAATTTGGGGAACTGGAGCACAGATCCAATTCCCTAAATCAAGAGCCCCTCACCAACATCAAGGAACCTTCCTTGAGGGGTACTATTCGATAATATTTCACTAAACAGCTACTTTAAAATATTCCCATGTTTCTCCTAGACTCATTACCTCGCGACTTTGATGATTTTTCATGGTAAAAATTCACGAGCGTATTAGCGAGATTAAGCACTGAACTGCTTACTGTTAATGATTGAACTCGGTGTGTCAAGAGTCTTGTTATTATGTTCATAAAGAAGACAAATTCCAATGGAACTATACAACACCTGTGGAACGACGATACGGAGTCTTGTAGGTCCGTGTAATCTGTATACAACAGCCAGAGTTTTATGCACAAGACAGATTTATTTCAGACTGCATTCATATTATCATTATTATTCTTATTACTAAAAAATGAAGCGCAAGACCCTCTGTGAATCAGTTCTGCAATATGAACAATTCCCTATTCCTCTTTTGTATACTTGATATGTTGACTTAATACACAGTGACAAGATTCCACATCACCCACGCTCACAGATGCCATGTTAACCGCTGCCTTGACGCTTTCTTACTCGGATAAGCTGCCTAATAACATGTTAATGTATGTCTCAGATATTGTCAAAGGTATACCAGACAACTCTGTGGTAAGTGAATGGTTCCTTGAGAAGTAATGTTTGGTAATAAGTAGACTCCGAAACAATATAATCATAATCATAATAATTATAATAATTTACTGTTATTTTCATGGGGATGCGCTATATTCGTTAGGGTTACTCAGTACCTGGGAGGTAATTAGGAAAAGGATTAGCCATAATTCCTAGGAACAGAAGCTCTTTAGAAGCATCAAGGTACTCGCCTTGAATGACAAAATGAACACGAATGCCGTAGAAAACATACAGAAGAATGACACGTTCATCTCTGTATCGTAAATGTTTTCTACGAAGATTAAAAGTACTGAATTTACACTATCTAGAAAGACGTGCAATCAGGAACATATGATAAAATACAAATGAAGAACAGAAATAAAGGGGGACACGAATAAGGTGCTTAAAATGTCCATAAATGAACTCGAAATTGTTAGACAAATATAAATTTATGAAGGAAACTAGAAAGCAATAATTTGTCAACAGAAGTGTAACGAGTATATTCACAAAAAGCGTTAAATACGTCAATGAAGCGCATACTCTAGGTATATTTAAAAGTAGATGGTGGTAATTAACAAAAATGCACAATACCGTGACTGGAACACACAAATAACCCTTAGAGGATCCCTAAGCTCTCCCGCAGTGCTCCTCTTTCTTGGTTTTTGACTGACTCCACTTTTATTATTACTACCACCACTACCTCTCTACTTCCTTTCCTATTACCTCTCTTGTCCCGCCCCTGTCTGATGGCCTATATATACTGCTCCCTTCTCTCCTTTCAGGCCCATACTAGGCCTGTTGCCTAGTATGGGCCAACAGGCCTCCTGCAGTGTTCCTCCTTTATGTTCTTAAATGGTCCAAGTCGGACCGAAACGTTGTCGTAGCTCCACTATGTGCGGGTTGTGTATATGGTGGTAATATTTAGGTATTAGTAGAACCTGTGTAACATAGGTCAGTGGACCTACTGCAGTGCTCCTGCTTTGTTCTCGTTTTCTCAACTCTCCAGAGGTTATAGACAGAAGAAATCGATCTGTAAATAAATGTATTTCTCTCTAAAACTTGGTTTACAGATGTACAATAAATATACAAACAAATAAGTAGCTAGCAGTCCCATAACACATGACTTAGTACATAAATTAGAATGTACAGTTGGCTTTATATTAGGTATGGGGGCTTTAGGAACAAGTAAGGGAGGGGGTCTATCTTCAAGGAGCCTCTCAGCAAAGCATGCAACAGGCAGTCAATGGCTCTGCAAATTACATAAGAAAAACAAAGATACACAGCCAATTTTAGAGACTTTGTCACTAGAGCAAAGAAGAGCATGATACCTCGCATGCTTGAGTTGGTTAGACCAGAGTTCGCTGGAGATGGCTGCGAGGCACAGAGGTGGTCTTTCCGGCCGCAGGAATGTCAGTAATCCACAACGACGGATGTTACTCCGAAGAAAAGGAATGCGAAAGGCCGCACACGAGGTGAAACAAGAGTGCTGCGGATACTTCCTGGTGGAGGGCAGCAGCAAGTCGTAATTTTTCTTGCGGGAGAGATGCAATTGACTGCGGCGACGCTAATACACCCTGTGTCAAAATAAGTTCTCCTCCAGCGCCTCAGCCAGTGACACAACTGAGTCTTCTGAGATCAGAACTCCCAACAACAAACTGAGTTCACGTTATTGAGAAAACTTAGCTGATTGTCCTCGACATGTAAAGAAAATCACAGATTGTTAAGTAAATGTACCACACACACAACATAAACGCTACACTGAGAGCAGAGCGGCGAGCTGTGGTACCACCCACGTCTCACACTGATCCACCTTAAAACATCACATTGTCACCTTTATGACTTTAAACTGTACATTCACATAAACACAGATTTGTACATGTTGAAGGAGAGG